TAACCTCTGCTTAATTACCTTAACTGCTTGGAATTAGCTAAATATATGTTAAATCTGTCCCAGTAACTTTCATATCAGTAACATAAGTAGAATATGGGTACAGAGATTCTCACTCATTAAAGAAAAAATTTGCAGCATTTTAAGGAAGGCATGTCCAACAAGAAATCCAACCTCCCAAGTCTCATTTGGGTCAATTTAGAACCCCCTCTCTTATATGACATGGTCTCTTCTATAACATTGCCCTATACTTTGTTATTTTGGGACTGCAGACTGTAAAGAAGTAATTTTTATTAAGAGTAAAGTCTGCTGCTGTATTTGATACTGAACTTATATGAAAATTGCTATTGGTGGGTACGTTTTTGAACTGTGTTCATAAGAGCTGCCATACTGGGTCAGACCATGGTCCATCTTGCCCATAATCCTGTCTCTGACAGTGGCCGGCACCAGAGCTTCAGGGGTAGTGTATAAAACAGGGCAATTATGGAGTGATTCATCCCATCTTCCCATGCCCAGTGTGGCAGTCAGCGGTTTAGGGCCGCTCCGAGCATGGGGTTGCATCCCTGACCATCTTGGCTAATAACCATTGTTTGGCTTTTCTTATTTGTTTTGCTTGTTTTATTTAGTCATTCTTTTAAAAAATAGCCACTACTATTAGGATGACACTCCAATCTGTCTTATTTCACTGCGCCACACTATTTTCCAGAACTGGACGTATTTCTAAACTGGTTAAAGCTGGACTGTGGTATCTGTGTATTTTTTACCATAATATTTCTTATTGCCACCTAAATAAAAAAAAATATGTAAAAAAAAGAGACAGCCAATAGCCAGAAAAATCAATATTTTAACTTTATTATGACAGTTTGAATATAGGTCACCTGAAAAATACAAATTAGTTCCCCTGTTATGAGACGTTGCAAACAAGAAATCATAAAATTGCACAGTGTTAATGCTGTTCTATAAACTTATTTCTAGTTTATAGGCAACAGATTGCAAGATCCTACAGTAATAAATTACTGCTCAGAGGTGTATCTGTCTGTATGAGGGGAACTAAAAAATCCTGTTGAATGTGTAGTATATTCCTGCTGAGAGAATTATTAAAATTGCTATCCTGAAGAGAAGAGAGCTCAACATGTAAAATGTGTAAGTGTTGAATCCTGAGGGCTGTGGGTTTCCAGAAGGCAATGGGAGTTTTAGCTACTCAGCAGCTCTCAAAAGATATGCTGGATAATGAAGAGAATGAAATTAAATGTAGCATTTCATAATGAAAATAATATTAAAAGATGCAACACAGGTGTATCAAAGGCTGCTGAAACAACTCTATGATATGTAGATTACTTGAGAATGTTTTGAGAGAGGCAGTTTTAAGGTGGCACATGTTTCACACTGTTATATCCTGAATTCTGATCCATTTGCTGGGTGACCATAATGTGGTGTGAAAGTAGTTTCTTACATTTTAGTTTCCTTATTTGGCTTGTCATGACTCCAAAGTGACTAGGTCTAGGAACTCCCCATTTGTTTTAATATGTTGGCTTTGGCAAGGATTGGTGCCTTTGACCAGAATTTTGGGGTTTGTGGGTATAATTATTTTCTAATTTGGGGTTTTGTGGGAGGGGTCTACAGGAAGCCATGATGGGCAAGGGATGGGGCTAGTTTTGGGAGAGTGAGAGGGGGAAAGATCGAGGTGGGGGGGGCAGGGAACTGTGTAGGAGGGAGTAAAAACCAATGAGGAGTCCTTGTGGCACCTTAGAGATTAACAGATTTATTTGGGCATAAGCTTTCGTGGGCTATAACCCACTTCATCAGATGCATGGAGTGGAAAATACAGTAGGAAGGTATAAATACACAGCACATGAAAAGGTGGGAGTTGCCTTACCGAGTGGGGGGGGGAGGGGGGTCAGTGCTAACGAGACCAGTTCAATTAGGGTGGATGTGGCCCATTTCCAACAGTAGACAAGAAGGGGTGAATATCAACAGAGGAAAATTATTTTTTTGTAGTGACCCAGCCATTCCCAGGCCTAATTTGATGGTGTCAAGTTTGCAAATTAATTCCAGTTCTGCAGTTTCTCACTGAAGTCTGTGTTTTTGAAATTTTTTTTGTTGAAGAATTGCCAGTTTTAAGGCTGTTATTAAGTGTCCAGGGAGATTGAAGTGCTCTCCTACAGGTTTTTGAATGTTACAATTTTTGATGTCTGATTTGTGTCCATTATTTGTTTGCGTAGAGACTGTCTGTCTGATTTGTCCCATGTATATGGCAGAGGGGCATTGCTGGCGGGAGTGTGCAAAGAAAAGAGACAAGAGGAGAGTATAGGAGGGAATGAGCAACATGAGGTATTGAGAGGAAATAAGGTCCACCTAGCAGCATTTTTACCCTTTCCCAAATAAATCTACTAAATCCACTTTACATGCCCCTCCCTACATGATGATGGGAGAATCAGGGACCTTAATGAAAGGGGGGAGGCGATGGAAGCTCCTATCTGGGAGACATAGGAAGCCATATGGAGAGGGGGTGAAACAGATTGATGAGCAACATGGACCATTCCTGTGAGCTCCGCAGGGAATCCTGTCACTAAGCAATTCTTAAATGTTTTGTAAAAATGTAAGGAAATTCCTGGCCAAAATCTTTGGTAAATTTGAAGTAATCCCTTAAAAATCTTCCCAATGTGAACAGTTCTTAGTTTGAGTCAATATATTCAGAATAGAGAAGGAGAGAATGGAAATTCCTCTTTATCCCCTTTCCTTTTTATCTTGCCCCATAATTTGAGAACAAGGGGTGACTATGAAATGAATGAGTAGTCAAGTTAGAATGAACGAATAGTCAAGGGAATGCATTTTAGGCAGAATATCATTAACCAGTGGAATTCACTGCTATGGAAAGTCATGGAGATCGATACTGTAGCTGGATTTGGGGGGAGGAGGAAGGGAGAGTGGACAGTTTTATGATCAATAATTTTTTGTGTGTGAGCACTAAAATAACAGTAAGGATAACAAGATTGTCAAATCTTATAAGACTTAAGATTGCTTCATGGATCAAGGAGGGATGTTAACGCAGTATAGAATGTTGCTCAGTTGACTGGAATGTTGTATGAGGAACTTTTGTCTTCTGCTAAAATATTCGGTGGTGTCCCCTGCCAGAGATGGGGTACAGGACTAAAAGGATCAAGTGATGTGATCTGGTATGGATACTACATTAGGTAGGATATTGCACTAGATAGATTGTTGGTCTGATCTAACATGGCGGGAGGCTGGATTCCTAGCAGGATCTATTTTCCCTCCATGATGGGGTACTGGACTAAACAGAGCAGTGGTGTGATCTGTGTTGGTGGAAGGCAGGATCCTGGATGAGGTAGGCCACTAGTCTGACTAAATGTGGCAGGGACGCAGGATTAGATGGGACCATTGATCTGATCCAGGACATGCAGCCATTGAGAGTGGGGAAGAGGAGGGGAAACAGTGCTGTGCTTGTAAATGTCCTGCACTCTTGTTGCATACCTTTGCATTGGAGTTATGTCATTGGAGGGCCATGTTCCCCACATGTGCCGTGCATGCACAGTCTTGTCTGTTTCTGATGCATCTTGTCTTTTTTAAATATTCACCATTGGAGGGAGAGCCCTGTCAGCTCCAGGCTGCATGTATCCGTTAGTCCGTGAAATATCCATGCGCTCGATAAAGATTACCTGGGTCACTGGAGAGAAGCCATCTGGGGAATATACTGCCTGCCAGCAGCCCGGGGCCCAGGCTTTCTTTCTTCTCAGATTTTCATGCTCTGCGTTTGGGTACACTTAAGCAGAGGGAATGACTCAAACCTGATTTAGAAAATGTTCTTTGTTCATCAAAAAATAAACCCATTGGCTGTTCCATCAGAATGAAGCCATGCCCCGGGAACATGCTGGTGAAGCAAAGAGATGTCAAAGTGCCACCCCAGTGCCAGATTGTGCCATTCAGGCACTGATGACTATGGTGTGGTGCAGAGTTGGAGCACCTCAGAGGTGGCTTAGGGAAGGATTGTGCCTCATGGAGGAGAGATGTGGCCCTGCTTCCTCCCTGCCTCCTTTGGTGTGATGTGCATCCCTAAAAGCATACAAAGGGAGAAATCCCTGCACTCACTTGATTCTGCTGTTGTGTCCTCCTTGGGCTCCCCCCCTCTATAAAGCCTTGGGACATGCTCACCTTTAATATTCTTTTCACAAAGTTGTTTTAAATGGTATTTCCTAATTTTTATAGAAAACAAAATGAAAGAGAAACAGTAACAAACAAGCAAACGGAATTTTAAATTCCAGGCCTTCAGAGTGCTGTTGACTCGCAAAAAATACCAGCATGTGTAAATACCATACAATGACCTTCCACCCTTCTCCTTTCTTACTGGTCTCAGAAATGAGGTGCATTGATGTGGGATATTTGTGTGTGTAGCTTATGCTACTGTAGCCAGTGCTGTACTGCTTTGGACCTAAATAGAGGACTTTAATCTCCAAGGGTAATGAAGTTTGGCATCTTCCACCAGGGCTAAAATTTCTTAGGAAAGAAATGTAGAATGGTTGCTTGGATAGGGCTTGATCCTTGGAGGTGCCAAGTATACTGGACTCCTGGGAAAGTCAATAGGTTGTAAGAGACTTGGCCAAAATCATTTAACAGTGGCAATTGGTGGAGCTGGGATTAAAACACAGCCTTTGCATCTGGTGCCTTAACCACTGGATCAAGCTGAATCCCAGAGATCATCCACTGAGTCACTGAATTGTAGACCTTTCCCTAGATCATAGGGGAAAGCTGGGAACCGAATTCTGACTCCTGGATGAGGCCAGGCATTATCTCAGAACACAGATCTCTCTGCGAGTGGGATATGTGGGGCTGGGAACACAGTATATTCCCTCCAGGGGATGAGATGCAGGAAGGAGTCTTGTAGGGAACATATCGAGTTTGAGCAGCTGATGCTTGGAAAAGCACAAAAGACTATATATATATATATATATATATATATATAATATAATTTTTTTTTAAAAAAACAGAAATACTTCTGGATACAACAGGAGAGACCTCGGAAATCGGCTGGACCACCCACCCTCCTGATGGGGTAAGTGCTCCCTGACCCTCTTTCTTCCTCCACCAACTGTGGGAGGGCTTACACAGCCATCGGGGAAGGTGGGGTTGGAGCAGAATAGGTTTCTTTTCCAGTTTTCTTGCATATGGAGTATCCAAAGTGCTTTACATTGTGCTGACTCAGATACTGGACCACACAGGCAAAGGCATTAGAAGCATGTAACTGAGAGAGTGGGATACTAGAGCTACAATCTTAGGTTCATTTCCAGCTCTCTTGGTGTTTTTCCCTGTTCAGAAGTACTTATGAAATCTTCAGCTTCCACAGGGACAGCCCAGCTGAGTCAGAGCTGGGTGCAAGGGGGCTGTGTTTAACACCTTCTCCAATGGATGCTCTGTCTCTGTTTTGCACTGACTGTCTCTCTTTTGTGTGTGTCTTCTCTGTCTTAAGATGGGAAAGGCGAGGGCAAACAGAGTTGTCGCCATGGCATTTAGAATGCTAACATTGCACAGCAGTATCCCATTTCCCCCTAGTATTCTCCAGCAGTGCCGGCCTGGGGTACTCCCTGCCCAACAGAGGGTTGAACTGAACTTTGTTTAACACCTCCACTGCAGGGAAGCCCCTCTAACAGTGCAGCAGTCCTTGCTCTGAGTGCTTTTAGCATCAGGCATCAGCCCAAGTCCCAGTGTGGGGCCCCAGCACTGTTTGCCCAAGAGGCAAGTAGAAAGCTCAGATAGAAGGAGCCTCTTGTAGAGGTATTGAGTCCTGGTCCCTGTGATCCAGAGACCAGTGATCATTATATCCCAGATTTGCCGCATGTTTGAAACCCCTCTAACAACTTCTCCACCTCTCTCTCTGCTGCCTATTCGTTACAGTGGGACGAGGTGAGTGTCCTGGACGACAAGAAGCTCCTGATCCGAACCTTTGAGGTCTGCAATGTGGCTGAGCCAGGCCAAAATAACTGGCTGCGCACTCACTTCATAGAGCGGTGTGGGGCCCACCGAGTCCACGTCCGTCTCCGCTTCTCAGTGCGTGACTGTGCCAGCATGCGGACCGTGGCTTCTTCCTGCAAGGAGACCTTCACCCTCTATTACTACCAGGCAGAAACCGACATGGCTACGCAGGATCTGCCTGAATGGCGCGAGGGGCCCTGGACCAAGGTGGATACCATTGCAGCTGACGAAAGCTTCTCACAGGTGGACAGCACTGGGAAGGTGGTGAAGATGAATGTCAAGGTGCGCAGCTTTGGGCCGCTCACCCAGCGTGGCTTCTACCTGGCTTTCCAGGACTCAGGGGCCTGCATGTCACTGGTGGCTGTACAAGTCTTCTTCTACAAGTGCCCAGCTGTGGTGAGGGGGTTTGCCTCCTTCCCTGAGACCTTTGCCGGTGGGGAGAGGACCTCGCTGGTGGAGGCAGTGGGGACCTGTGTGGCAGACGCAGAGGAGGCAAGTACGGCAGGGTCCTCTGGTGTCAGGCTGCACTGCAATGGGGAAGGCGAGTGGATGGTGGCCATTGGGAGTTGCACCTGCAGGCCTGGCTACCAACCTGCTAACGACGAAGGAGCCTGCAAAGGTGAGAGACTACCTCCTTCCCCCACACTACCTATACCTTTTCCTGTTGGGTTTATAAGCCACAGAGAGCAGTTGTTGAAAGGTGCCAGAATGAGACCCCTGGAGAGCAAATCCTCTCCCCACCCCAGAGCAGGCATAACAGCAACCTCTTCACAATCAGTGAGTCTCAGCCCTGACTTAGGCTGACCTGACCTGGCACTTCTAGGGCCAAAGAGGGGGGGTTTGACCCTCCATGGCCCATTCAGGGCTCAGCTTCTGTGCTGAGGCTGCCAGCATATAGTGCCAGCGATGATGATTGGTGTGAAAAGATCAGCCGCCCACTAGGAATTGGACTCAACCCCTACTTCATCCTCAGTTCACACAAGACTCAGATTGGGCCTAAACCTGGGCAGTCCTGAGCATCCACATTCCACACTGAGTTTAAGATTTCCTGACTCTTAACCCTGTGCTCAGTCCCTTAGACTAAACTGCTTCTTAAGTGGTTTATATACAATGTAGATTCCTACTATGCTCCATCCAGCACTGACGGGCAGCCACCTCAGCACATAGCAACACAACACAGCAGTTTAGGTCAATGCGAGAAATAAGAGTAATGTATTATTTAGTTTCAACTGCAGGGGCAATTGTACACAGTCAGAATGTAATCTACCCAAATAAGAAATTGGCCAGGACATTGGGATTAAGATTCCTGTGGTCAATGCCCAGTGAAAAACGGCATGAGGTTTTTAAAGAACCTTATTTATATCACCTTGTACATGCATTATGTGAATTGATCGAGGGTGCAGTTAAGATTTTAGATGCATATCAATTAAGTCACAACCTTATCAAAGTATTGTCATAAATGTAATAAAGTTAAATTGAAAAATCAAAAACAAAGTTTGACAGTTGGGAAATTCATAGTGCAGGTGATCTGCAAAGGAAAAAAAATTGCTCTGTGACTTTTTATTTGTTTCATGTTTTAAAATGGATTGAAAAGTGGAGGCCTATTTCTCCTACTTGTTTTTCACCTTAGAAATAAGTGCCAAGTCCCATCTTTCCTGTTTTTGCTGGAAGGCTTTCTGGCTGACTCAGGGCTTGTCTCGACTTGGAAAACTGGTGCTTTTTGCAACGCAGTTAACTCAGTCAAGCTAGCTAAACTCTATTGAAATCTCCACTTAACACCAATGTAGACAAAGTTTAAAACATTCAGCTTGATTAGACCTGCTAACTTCAAGCTAAAGTGTTAAAATGTCTGTCTTTTTCACCGTCAGCAATAACTGAAGTGCAGGAAGGTCTGGCCTGGTTCCTCCAGTCCCTCTGTCCCCAGTTGAGCAGTAAGAATAACTGTCCAATCTCAAAAGTCCATCTACCTGACAGTGCACTCCAGTGTGTTGCTATCATTGGCATCTTTTGCCTTGTGGCATGCACCTTTCAGGTTTTTGATTCTTCACCTGTACTGAATTCCCATCCAGTAAATCCTCTCCTCTGCCAGGTTCTTGGAGATGTTCTTGTAGACATGTTGATTTTGGGTACATCTCCTCAAATCATGCTGTTTAGTGACCTCACACCAGATATCCACCAGAACCTTAGTGTCAGCCTCTGGCCAGCTGGCAACAGGCTGAGAGAAGGAACTCCCAGATGGCATTGCTGTTCAAATGCTGTGTAGAAATGGAGCAGGCTGCCTGGATTATGGGGTTTAAACATCTCAGTGTATATAAACTGGTAGGTGACTTCTGGTGCAGGAGAAAGGAGTAGGTTCTTAGCAAGCTTCTGGAGACAGGGACTATCTTTTTTTGTTCTGAGTTTCTACAGTGTCTCGCTCCCAGAATAGGGTATTGGGGGGGGGGGGGGGGAAGCATTGGAGGACTGTCAGGATCTGAGTTAGGTAGCCTCCATCTACACTGCAAAGTGGGTGGGTTAGCTTGAGTTAAAGCAGAACTCGGGCTCTAATCTATACCCACAGCCAGGCCAGCTAACTCTGATTCAAAGCACCTCCAAACCCGGCTCAGAGGTTTTTGTGTGTGGATGGTTTTGTGAGTTGGACTAAAATCCATGTGAGAGCCTGGGTTAACTCTGCAGTGAAGACATAAGCAGTGATGTGAAGCTGGCTTCTAGATCTGTACTGTATATACACCATAATGGGTGATACATTTCTAGGTGATATGGTACTTCCAATATGAATCAGAATTAAAATCAAGTTACTCCAGTACTGAGGGTATCCCACTAGCTCTTCTTCAATATCTTTTCTGTTTTTACATCATGGTAGCTGAAAAGGCAATACTGGAAGTGTGTATGAGGTATGCTTGTTAAGTGTAAGGCAATTATTAGGGATTAGCTAAAAGATGAGACCTATTACATAGTCAGAGCTAAGATTTTGTGGAGCCCTCACTTTGAATTTCTAGGCTTCCAAGTATTTTGTGGTTTTCAAGTAATTACAATGTTCTGATAAAAACAACAAGGAGTCTGGTGGCACCTTAAAGACTAACAGATTTATTTGGACATAAGCTTTCGTGGGTAAAAAAACCACTTCTTCAGATGCATCAATGTTCTAAGTTCACTAATTAAACTGGAATTTATTTACAACATTAAATGTATCTTAAAGGTCAGCCCCCCATCCTGGGAATTTTTTTACCTTTTTAAAAAAAATGTGAAAACATGCTTTAGATAGACAACATTTTATGTAAAGGCTATACAATGGTTTTCAAAAACGGGTGACCAAAGTTTGACTCCTAAAACCATATTTAGGTAACTAGCAAGGGTCCTGATTTTCAAAAGTAGTCAGCACCCAACAGTCTCATTGAAACTGTTGGGTGCTCTCCCTTTTTGAACATCAAACCACTTATTTAGGTAGACTATGGACTTAGAAGCCCAATTTTAGGCACCCACTTTTGAATATCTTGACCCATATATTCAAATGAGACATGCATTTCTTAAGCCAGAGTGCTTGGACTTAATAGGGAGTTCAAATGCTACCGGCTTTGCTGGAAAAGCATGTGATTTTCTTGAAATGGAATGATTTGGCTGATGTAGTTTATCGAACAAATTATTTGTATTTATCTAAAAAAACTACATGCGAAGGATTAAGGGTTTCCTAAATTATGCACAACCCCTTTAGGTTTTACTTCCAGCTTCCTTTTTTAAGAGCTTTCCTCCTCCATTCCTACATGCTTTATCTTAAGCAATTATGAAGTCTCCTAAGATTTCCCAAATTATTCCCCTCCACAGGTCTTTGTTAACAATCACTTCCATTTAAGTTCAAGTAAATCTGGCTTTTACTTCTCGTTGCTTAAACACCTGAAGTGACAGGTCCTGTGAAAGCTCCGCTGCCCTGTCTATTGCAGTTCAATTTGAATGTGTACACTAATGATGTACCAAACCAGTCCTGAAGGAGTACATTAAATAAAACACGCATACCTTCATTTAGCTTTCAATTAAACATTTCCCTGGGCGATAGCATCAAGACAAATAGGTACCTTGTACAATACTCTTAAAACATGCTCATACACATTTCTGAAGGCTAATAGTGACAGTAATAGTGTTAATGATAGCTTCACAGTTTGAACTCATTTCAAAATTAACAGAGTTTCTAATAAGCAAGTATGTGCTTTCTTTAAAGATAAGGTAGAGTTAAAATATTTTCTGTTTTTAATCTCCTTGAAGCATATTGAAAGCAGAAGACTTGCTTATTTTGTCTGCACTTTTGCCCTTTTCCCTAGTTTATGGTTACGCATTTTCTCTTCCCTTGCTTTCCTTTGAAGACAACCAGACTACTTCCATAATCTCATTTGGGAAAGTTGTCTAAGACATAGTGTCTGCATTTTGGCCATACTTTTCTACACTGGTGGAGGTTGCTATCACTGTCATCCTTTGTCATATTTCTGATTGGATTTTTGAATTTCATATAGTTTTCTTGATGCTGTATTGTTTTCTTCAAGTTTTCCTGCACTTTTGGTATGCACTTTGCCCCAAAGTGAGTCCTATTTCTCCTCTTAAATAGAAAAGATAAACTTGTCTACTTGATGGCTGCCCTAGAAAAGACCAACTGACTTTTACTTCCTTTTATTCCTTCAGAGATTGAACCTGCCCCATTGAAAGCAACAGAAGCTTTGCCATTGACTTCAGTGGGTGCAGGGTCTGGCAAATATAGAGGGAAAAAATAGAGCCGCCCTGAGTGGATGTTTCAGAGATGGAGAGAATGAGTTTCCTGAGGGGAAGTCTTCAGTTGTATTATTTATAGTATTTATACATCTATAGTATTTCTCAAAGATCAAGGATAATGGAAGAACTTTGTACCACAAAAACTTGTGGGCTCTAGGCTGAGACTGTTTTTACTCTATTATTGGTGTGGCCTGACCTAGTTCTGTGTCTTTGTATTTGTGTCTTCCTAAATGGAAATAGTTTTCCTCCCAAACCTTGTCCTATCCACTTTTGCAGTTATACATTAACCAGTTAGCCCTTGCTGGAACAAATACTTGGCTCAAGTCCATCACTGTACTCTGAACCTGGGTCCACACAGGTCAGGAAAAAAGTGGCTTTAAAGTGACTGGTCACTTGTTTACAACTGCATGTGGTAACATTAATATTGTAAAAAAGAAGCTAGAAGAATATTTTTACAAATATATGTGTAATTTGTATTCAATTCTGCTGAATCAGGTGTAATGCTTCATTGGGATGGACTAGATTTAAAAAATGAATAAAGTATCTCCTAGTATTAGCAACAATTTGTTATCAATCTAATAATCTTTTAATAAAGATGCATTAGCTTTATATATTGCATTCTCTTTGATTAAAAATGATTTATAACTGCAAGGGATATAATGATGCATGCAATGAGTATTGAGATTTGTTTGTTATTTATCAGACAAAAAACTTAGTTAAGGTAGCATTTCTGAAAGCCAGGTTACACTTAACCTACTCCCCCCACACTCCAAAACAACAAATGAACCAGAACAGTTATTGCCTCCACATGGCTATGTGATCACTCCATGTAAAGCTAACATATGTGTAAAGAGTATCTCGGCT